GGCTGCATGAATATGATGGAATATTGTTCAGCCATAAAAAAGAAAAGCTTGCCATTTGCAACAATATGGATGGATGTTAAGGACCATCTATATGTGCTGACTCCTAATTTCTTGTCTCAGCCAGATACGAAGCTCCAGATACCACCTTCAAATACCTGACTGCCAACAGCTCCACCTGGTTGTCTAAATGGCATCTCAAACTTAAAATGTCCAACATAAACTGATTTCTCCCAATCCTGTATCTCCTGCAGTCTTTACTGTCTCAGTTAAAGATACCTCCACTTGCCCACCTGCCCAGACCAAGAGCTGTGGAGTCATCTTGGATAGCTCTTATTCTCTCACATCCCATATTCAAAGCATCAACAGGTCCTATCTGATTTATCTTGGAAACGCGTCCAGACTCCAACCACTTATCACTTCCACTGCTACCACACTGGTCCAGGCCACCATCATCTCTTGCCTGGACTACTGCAATAGCCTCTTGGCTGGCCCTCATGCTTGCCTGCAGTGTGGAGAGTTCAGCACACAACAGCCAGACTCAACCTTTTGCTCTCTGCTTGGACATTTCTATCGGCTTCCCATATCATCCAGTCTTCTCACGGCCTCCAGGAACCTACTCCAAGTCCCATGTTACCTCTGACCATTCACCTCAGCGACCCTGTTCTAACCAGTGGCCTCCTTGCTTTTCTTCTGACACATCAAGCAAACTTCCACCTTAGGATATTTGTACCTGTTATTCTGCCTACAATTTTCTTCTCCAGATATCTCTATGGCTCTCTTTCCACCCCCCACCTCCCTTCAATTCCTGCTTGGAGTCCTTCCCTTAACATTTGTGTATTAGCAGTCCTTCTGCGGTGGTTTTAAAATACCTCCATAAAATTTTTGATATTTTAAGAGATGAAGACTAATTCCCTTACTCTTGAATATGGGCTAGAGATACACACACACACACACACACACACACATACATATATGTATATATACACTTCCGTATACACATATATATTTTTAATCCTCACCCAAGGATATGTCAATTGGTTATAGAGAGAAACATCGATGTGAGAGAAACATTGATTGGTTGCCTTCCATACACACCCCAACTGGGGATAGAACCCACAACCTAGGTATGTGCCCTGACTGGGGATCGAACCTGGAACCTTTTGGTGTAAGAGACAACACTCCAACCAACTGAGCCACCTAGCCAGGGCTTAGTGATATATTTTTAACAAATAGTATATGCCAGAAATGACAGTGTGTGACTTTCAAGACCAGGCCATAAAAAGCATTGCTGCCTCTTTAGTCTCTTGGGTCACTTTCTGGGGCAAACCAGCAGCCACACTGGGAGGACACTCAGGCAGGAAGTCTTCTCTTGTAGAGAAGTCCACCTGAGGAGAACAACCTCCTTCCAACAACCACATGAGTGAGCCATCCTGGAGATGGATCCTCCCATCCCAGTCAAAATGACTGCAGCCTTAGCCAACATTTTTACTACAAGCTCTTGAGAGACAGTGAGCCACACCCATCCTACTCAACCACTCTCAGATTCCTGATCAACAGAATCGTGAGAAAATAAATGTCTACTGTTTTAAGCTGCTACTTTTTCATATAATTTGTTACACAGTAATAGATCACTAACACGCCTTTCCCTCTCTATTCCCTCAATGCAGATTTATGTCTCTTTGTTTTACTTATTGTCACCTGACAACATTCCCCACTGAAATTATACCATTATCACAGGGACTTTAATTACTCCTGGGCCCAATAGTGCCAGCATAAAGTAGATGCTCAGTAAATAGGCACTGAACAAATGGAGGTCTAGGTCTGTCTGTCTCTCTCTTTGTCTTTGTGAGGCAGGCAGGGGTTATGTGTGGATGTGAGAGACAGCCTTTTCTCTCTCACAAATGAAAAGGGATGAACCAGGTTCCAGTTTGGCTTATTCCTTCCCCTGAGCCCTTTCCTTCCCCTCAGCACTTTCCAGTTGTAGCACTTGTGGCTCAGACAGCAAAGGAAGGTTTTACTATATTTGATGGGTTCTTTTTCCTTTGGAAGTAGCTGCCCAGTCCCTTGCCCCTCTCCTCCTCCTCAACCTCCTGCAAAGCAATCTCCAAACTCTCAGAACTGGAATTCCCCAAGCCAGTTTCTACCTTTCCAAGAGGAATCTTACCATCAATCTCTCTCTGGATACCTCCTCTTCTCCAAGCAGTCAGGGGAAGCTGTGTGGGGAAAGAAAAGCAAGCTGGGTACAGGAGTTCCACAAATCTCTACCCCCTCCCTCTAGTCCCCCAAGAGACCCCCAGGGGATGTTTGTCTGCCTCTGCACATTTAATGACTCTCCCCTCTGTGGTCCTAGCCTTAGAGAGGGCTGGGGAGAGGAAGGGGCTTGGCTGCCCTAGAACTCACCACGCAAAGCTATGCAGTAGGGGACATCTGTACTAAAGTGGATGGATCAACAAGGCTTTCCAGTGGGAAAAGAGTCTGATGCTTAGGCCTGAAATGTGAGTAGGAGGACACTGGAGTGAGCCAGAGGTGTGAGCAGGATGGAACTTCTCAGTGTGGCCAAGGATGGGCCAACTAGAACAAAGACTTAGTGCACTAGTAGGAGCTAGACTGGGGACAAGGATGGAGGCTAGAGACAAGGAGAGCAGGTTGCGGGGTGGTGAGGGGGTGGCAGGTGGGGGGATGTCATCCTGGTGAGAAGAGCAAGCTGGGTCTGAGAGGAGGAGACTAATTGGGAGTGGGGGGTGAGGGGAGGAGAAAGGAAGTGAAAGTCACACCTGAATTTCTGCCTCCTGGGGAAATGTTGTACCTGGGAGGAATCTTGCCTCACTGGGTATAAGGTCAGGGGACAATTTCTGGTGCTGGTTTAGGTTTGACCCAGCAGTTCCACACCCAACCTCTATAGATATGTGTTCTCACCTCCAGGTGGCCCTTCTGCTTTGGTAGGTTGGTTCCCTTGCATTCAGGAAGACACCGGGGGATGTACGAGGGGAGGGTGCCGGAGAGGAGTGGGGCCCAGGGTGCTCAGAATTGTGACCTGCATTCAGGACTCCAAATAAGGAACAGCATCCCAGCACCTGGGGTATAATGGGGGGCAGGGTGGTCCTGAGTCAGTTGGCTGAAGGAGTCTGGAGATACAGGCTGGGGAGTCACGCACACATACTTGAAGATGAGCAAAATGCTGGTCACTGTTGAAATGCGTGGTGAGTACCTGAGGTTCTTTATACTCTTCACTCCTTTTTTTACATATGTTTGAAGAAGTCCGTAATAGAACGTCAAAAGAGCTTTTTAAAAAACCGTGCAGTAGTGTATCTCCGTGTAGCGCGTGTACCCTGCTGCAAGTGTAGAATCAGTGTAGAGACCTCTGAGTGTGTGCACACAAGTGTGAGTCCACCACCAAGTGCACATAGTATGGGAAGGGCAGCATATATGCAGTTGGGGACTGCAACTGGGTAGGGCATGGGGAGGAGCTTCAGTTCTGTCCACACTCACCTCAGCATCTTGCAGAGTGATTCATCTCATGATTACAGGCCATTGGAGCTGTAGTGTCCATAAAACTCATATGTGAAACAGGGCAGCTTTGTGCCTGAACTTGTGACAGGGTATGTTGGTGTGTGAACACCGCTGTTTGTGTGTGAATGTGGGCACTCAGTGAGTGTAGGTGTGAGGGGCACGACTTGTGAGGTTGGGCGGGGGCCTGGCCCTGAGTCCAGTAGCGGTAGTCTCCTCACTCTCCTTTGCACGATTCCCAGCAGCTCTCCAGCGCCCCCTCCCCCCTAATCTGGCTGTGTGGAGGGTGGGAGACACCTGTTGGGGGGCTGGGGAGCCGGAGAGCCCACCGGGGCCTTTCTCCCTGTGTCCCCGCCCGCCCTGCCCCGCTCGGGTCCCGCCCCCGCGGCCGCGGCCAGCGAAGCGGCGTGAGCGCACCGCGGCCAGAAGAGCGCACGGCGGCAGGAGCGCACAGCGGGGAATCCCGCGCAGGGAACGAGAGGAGGTAGGGGCCGCCCGAGCGGCGGGCGTAGCAAAGGGAGAGCCGTGGAGACGCCGGGGGCAGCGGGCCGAGCCAGGCTGGTGAGTGCGGCCGCGGGGTGCCGGGAGCCAGAGAGTGGGCGTCGAGACCCCGCCGCCCCTGCCCACCCGGTCTGGTACCGGTCCTGGGCTCTGCCCCCGCCGCCCTCTATTCCTGCGCGTCCTTGGTTCTAGTTCTCTGCGTCTCTGTCGCGTCTCTCCGTCTGTTTTCCCTGTGTCTCTCCGTCTCTCCCCCTCTAGCTACTGTCTCACCTTCTCTCTTTCTAATTTCTCTCTTCTATCTCTGTCTCTGTCTCCTGCCGCTTCGGTCTTTCCCGTTCTCTCTCGATCCCTGTCTCACTAATTGTCTCTATATCTCTGTCTCTTTCTTTGGACTACCTGTCACTCAGGTCGTTGATATTTATCTTTTGCTCCCCCCTTTCTCTTACCTTCCCTGGCTCTCTACCCAGCATCTCTATCAATCTCATCTGTCCCCATCTCTGTCTCTCCATCCTTGTCTCTGCCTGGTGTCTCTGCCTCTCTCCATCTCGGTCCCTCTCAGTCTCTGTCTCTCCTCACCTCTGTCTCTCCTTGTCTCTCTGTCCCATCAACATTTCTATCTCCACATTTCCTTGTCATTCTCTTCCCTCACCCCCATCAGATCGCTCTCTCTCTCACTCTCCCCCTTCTCCGTTTCTTGGTCCTTGTCACCCTCTTTGATCTGTCTCTACGTGTCCTCCGTCAATGCCCATTTCTATCTCTTTGCCTTGCTCTCTCCTTTCTACCTCAATTAATCTCTGGAAAAGCTATCTTTCTTTCTCCTTATGAACCCCCTGCACTTCCCCGAGTCCATGACCACCTCCCCTTGCGTTGGGGGTTGTGGGAGCAGTGGGGCCCAACCCCCATAATGCCCTCCCCCACAGACGGCCCTTTCCTCGGGGCCCCGCCTGGTGCCAGCCACCCCACCGGCGGGCGGACTGCGCCTGGAAGCTGTAATGGAAGCCCTGCAGAGGCAGCAGGCAGCCCGACTGGCCCAGGGGGTGGGGCCATTGGTCCCTCCACATCCAGCGCCACCACGGCCTCCCTTGCCTGGCCTCCGGATTCTGCAGGCCCCAGAGAGGGCTTTGGGGGAGGTTGGCGCTGAGGAAGAGGAGGATACTGAAGAGGATGAGGATGGGGAGGAAGCTGGGCCTGAGGAAGAGGCAGCTGAGGAGAGTCGTCCAGGAACCCGGGGCCCCAGCCCACCTTCCAACCAGCCCCCTGGACCTCATCCCCATGAGTGGACCTACGAGGAACAGTTCAAGCAGGTAGGACCCCTTCAATGTCAGGCCCTCCTGTCTTCCTCGTCTCTGGGCAAAAGCAGAGTCTGATGATTAGTAGCCTGCCCTCCACAGGATGGAAAGACAGAGACACAGAGACCTAGAGAGACACAGTGGAAAGACTGAAGGTTAGATAGTGACAGGACGCAGAAAGAAGTGCATAGGCAAACATTTAGAGGTGCTGAAGACACCCAGAAACATGGAGGCTGACAGATAGGAGGCTCTTCATGAGGCTGGAAGGGGAAGTGGGAAGGGTGTAGGAGTCTTTAAGAATTCTCTTGAGGGAGGGGGATCTGACGACTAAGGATTACAATGTCAGCACCATCCTACCCTACCTTCTCACACAGCAAGTCACAAGGTCATATTTCAGCGACCAGTGGGGATGTCTTGGGCTGTTTTCCTCTGTCTTTGGAAGCAGAATGGAGGTTGCCACTCCTTTGCCAAGCTGATACCCCCCTCATTTCTTCCTGTCACATTCCCCCCATCCAAATCCTCTCCCTGGCCTGAGTTCTATGGGTGACAGTTCCCAGCCTGTGATGGCCACTACCGCTGCAGTGTGACTAACGAGTCCTTGTGCAGCTGGAAATGACAAGATCTTACTTATAGAGCCATATTGGAGTTCCTCCTCCCTGCGGAACCCACCTGGGTGTTATTATAAAGCAAAGCTCCAAGCCGTCACTGGGAAAGTATTTCACAGGGCTGTGACTCTAGGGTGGTACCTGTAGGGTATTGGTCTTGGGTATTTTCCAGAAATGTTCATCTGTGGGTAGTACTCTGTGGCGTTAGTGTAAAAAGGAGTGTTACTCGGCGCTGGGTTACTCTGGACATATGGCTCTAGCAACTGTTTCTCCTAGGTATAAGTCTGGAGATTATTACTTGGACAGTGTGTGTTATTTGTGAGCATTCATCTAAGACTTAGGGCTCAGTTCTTGTGGGAGCATAGTTCTAAAGGCGAATCTCTGAGGTGCGTTTTGGGTGTTGTTGTTTTTTTAACTTAGAGTTCTTATTGGAGGATGGAGTGTTACCTATGGGAGTTACTCAGGGATTCTTACTCTTGGGTAAATGACTATTACTCTAGGAATTGTTCCCCTGGCTGGTATTCAGGAGATAATACTGGAGGTGGGGCTTTGGGTGATTGGGAATGTGTGGAATTACACCCTGGGCCTTTCAAGTGCTGACCCCACAGGTCCTGGGTGGTGAAGGGCCATTGCCTCTGTGGCAGTTTCTATAGTGGGCAGGTCACTGTTCCTGGAAGGAGACGACCAGAAAGTGGGCTGAGGGGCCCCAGATTTCAATCCAGAAGCTTCTGAGCATCCATCCTGCCTGAGGGATGGGTTAGAGCCATCATCCCCAGCCCTGACATGCAGAGATGTGAACAGCAAGAAGCTTTTGCAGGAATGAATAAGATTGAAGGAGGGCCCCAGATAAATCTGTCAGTTTCCTCAGTGTGGAACACAGCTCCTACCTGACTTCCTCCCTGTCCTCTGTGCATGGCCAGAAGAGCAGGCTTAGCCTCCACAGCTTTCTCTCTTCCCCCACCCCTCAGATGGACACCACTAGCCAGTAGAGGGTCTCTGTGTGTTTTAGAAAAAAGTGCCCCAACCAGCACCCAGGGGGAGGGAGCCTAATGTCTGGGAGTCCACATTTCAGATGAAGTTACCCCTTCATCGGGGACCCTTATTCAGGGTACAACCTGAGTTGGGGTCCCAGGGCATGGGGGAGTGAGTGGAGCTGGAAAATGACCTCAGTCCTTCCCCAGCTGTATGAGCTCGATGAAGACCCCAAGAGGAAGGAATTCCTGGATGACCTGTTCAGCTTCATGCAGAAGAGGGGTGAGTGGGGTGATGTAAGGGACGGGCCCCCCAGGTACCAGGTTGGGTCTTCTCTGCAGAGGCCTGAGCTTGGCAGCACCTATCCTTTGGGCCCTCAATAATATCTTTAACCTCTGACCCTGCCCTTCTCCTCCACCCAGCAATTAATTAGTAGCCAGTCCACTGGCAGGTTAATGAGTGTGGGATCAATTGGGAGAATGGGAAGGGGAACTGGTGGGAGGCTGATCTGGTGGATGGGAGGGAGCTTCCCAAGACTAGGGGACTGGGAATGCCTTTGGTCCTTTTTTGCTGGCCCTCCCTCCAGCCTTGTCTCTCCTCAGTTTCCCCTTGCTTCAGTCAGGGGACACCCAATGTGCTCTACAACAAGGACTGGGATTATACTAAAGGAAGGACTTCTCAAGGGTTAGGCTGGGGACCACGTGAGTTGGGGCAATGGAGGAGGAGAAAATCCTTTCCAGAAATCTCAGAGCTAAAAGAGAATGCAAGAAGGGTCCAGCAGAGGATCAGGATGGGTGGCAGTCCATCACTTAGGCTTCTCCCCAGATTCATGTGTCCGAAGACTGACTCATTATCTCTCTCTACAAAGCTAATTAACTCACTCAGAGCACGGCCTGATACGCTGCTAATTAACTGGCTGCATTGGCCCCCCCTACAGTGCAGAAGCTGGCCAAAGTCCCTCAGGCCCTCACCCCTGGCCCAGCACCCCTTACAGGTCCATTCCTCAGCAGGGACCCTCAGTGGGGCCCCAGATCCCTTTGCTCCCTAGGGAGACCTAGTCATTCTGGTCCCACTGTACCTTCCCCGCCCCTTCCTTTAAGTCTCCCCTCCATTGGAGGTTGGCAAGGGAGGCCTGAGCAGGTCCTAGCACTTCCCCCACCAGACTCAGAGCTCTGCCTCCCCTGAGTCCTGCCTCCCTCAGCTCCCTCTGCAGGAGGAGGGGGTCTCGCGGGGCCGATAATTTTCCCCCATTAATCAGGCCGCAGCTAATTGTTCGGGTCCAAAGGCGGCAGCGGAAGGGGACGGGATCGGTAAGGAATTAACTGGGGCCCATCGCTCAGCGCAGACAGGCCCCTTTGTCAGGCTTGGCCGGCGGGGGCGGTGCGGGCTGCCGAGTTGGCGAGCTGAGGTAGGGGCTGCTTCTTCTCCCATCCACCATCCTTGGGCTTCATGCAGCCACTGGGTCGCTCCTTAGAGGAATCAGGCTCTTCAGTACTGTTAGGAAGTCCTTCCTACGGTCTATCCCAGGGATGGGCAAACTAAAGCTTGCAGACCAAATCTAGCCGCCTGCCAGTTAAGAACCGTTACTATGTTTTTAAGTAATGTAAAAAACTAAAAGACAAGCAACATTCCAGACGCATGAAATTCGAATTTCAGAGATTGTAAATAAAGTTTTATTGGAACACAGCTGCACAGCTGCTTTCAGGCTACAATGGCAGAGTGGAGTTCTGAACAGACATTTAACTTCTGGCCCTTTACAGAAGTTTGCCTACTCCTGGTCTAGCCTCCCGTCCCTCCTTCGGCGCTATGGGCTCTGCCTGGACTACCACCTCCTCCCCGTCCCTCCCTCTTCCCCGCCTTTCTCGAGGTGCCGCCCTATGTCCTGGCCGCGTCCAGGCAGCCGACTTCTTCAGTTGCCGAGGATGCCCGCACACAGGGTCTTAGTCTTCTAGTCCTGACTCTCTGCCCAACCCCCACCAGGGACGCCAGTGAACCGCGTGCCCATTATGGCGAAGCAGGTGCTGGACCTGTACGCTCTGTTTCGCCTGGTGACAGCCAAAGGCGGCCTAGTGGAAGTCATCAACCGCAAGGTGTGGAGGGAGGTCACGCGCGGCCTCAGCCTGCCCACCACAATCACGTCGGCCGCCTTCACTCTACGCACCCAGTGAGGCCAAGCGCATGAGCACTAGGCGACGGGAGCCGGGAGGAGAAGGAGGGATGGGGGGCGGCGAGGCGCGGGTGGCGGCGCCACTGAGGGGAGACGCGCCCCTGGGCGGGCGTCCGGGTGTGGGCCTTGATCACCGGGGCCCCGCTTCCCTCGCGCACAGATCCCGTCCGCCCCTAGGTACATGAAGTACCTGTACCCATACGAGTGCGAGACGCGGGCGCTCAGCTCCCCCGGGGAGCTCCAGGCCGCTATCGACAGCAACCGGCGAGAGGGCCGTCGTCAGGCTTACACCGCCGCCCCGCTCTTCAGCCTGGGCCGCCCGCCCCCTCGGGCGACCCCTGGCCCCGCCTCTGGTCCTGGCTCCGCCCTGCCCGCACCCACGCCTGGCCCCCGCCCAGCCCAGGGCTCCGCCTCCGGCCTGCCGGCGCACGCATGCGCGCAGCTGAGCCTGAGCCCCATTAAGAAAGGTGTGAAGGGGAAGGGGCTGAGGTTTGGAGGTCGCTGAGACCTATGGGTACGCGGAGATACAGAGAGCTTTGAAATGTGGGGACTCTGAAACGCGGGAGGCATTGAGGTATGGGGTAGTAGGCACTGATGAGGCGCTGAGATTTAATGTACTCTAAAGTTGAGAGCTCCTGAGGTTGGGGGTCAATGAAGGCTTGGAAGCTCTGGAGTAAGGGTTACTGTGGCACGGGGCTGAAGGTCCTTTATCCAAAAGCCATTCCATTCCACACTTGTCCACCCATGGTTCCTATTTGCATGTGGTTTGTGCCTCCTGTGACCTGGTTTTTCTAACAATCGAGAACAAGGAAATCCTCCAAATTGATTTGGACCAACCTAGACCTATATATTGGTCTTTTGGGTTCCCCAATTTCAGAGGCTATAGGTTGAGAATGTGGATGGGAGTGGAAATTGAACTTGGTGCTTGAGCTTGGATGACCAACCTCCTTTGGTCCCAGGTCTGGGGGGAGAACCAAATACAGAGATTGAGTTGGTTGGGCTAGGGGAACTGAATGACCTCTTCCTCCAGAGGAGAGTGGAATTCCAACCCCTCGACTGGCACTGCCTGTGGGCTTGGCCTTGGGACCTGCACGGGAGAAGTTGGCACCAGAGGAGCCTCCAGAGAAGAGGGCTGTGCTGATGGGGCCCATTGACCCAACTCGACCTGGTGCACACCACAGTTTCCTGCCTCATGGCAAGGTTCCCCTAAGGGGTGAGGAGAGGCTTGTTGCTGATAGGTCTTTGGGCCTGTGTACTGTGGAACAGATCCCACAGTAGGACAGATCCAACACCCAATAAGCTTTGGAGGTGGGGCAGATAGATCCCTCAGTGGACAATGTGTGTGATTACCGGTGTGGGGCTGAAGTAGAAGAGGGGGTTATCTATAGGGATGGAGCAGGGAGCTTGTAAGCCTGAAGTCTGATTCCCAAAAATGTGACTCCCCTGCTCCCTCCTGGACAGAAGAGCGGCTGGATGGACCTCTCAATCTGGCAGGCAGTGGTATCAGCAGTATCAACATGGCACTAGAGATCAACGGGGTGGTCTACACTGGTATGGGTACTACAGACTGTCTACTCTGGCATGAGGTCAGGGCCATTTACATTGGCATGGGGATTTTAGACTTTTTCTACTAGCATGAGATTCAGCAATATCCAAATTTGCATGGGTAATATGAGGTTCAGGGGATTGCTACACTGGCATGGGTTGAAGGGGCTGTCTACATGGCACAGAGTACAAGGCATGACCTCTCTAGCATGAGTACCATGGGATGTCTACCTTGTCATGGGCCCGTGTATTAGTGTAAATATTTATTGTTTACCTGTTCAGGGGTATCCATATTGGCATAGGAGTCTCTAACTGACCAAAGGGTTTTGTCCTCATTGGTTTGTGGCAGAGGTATGTGTGTGGTGTTCCAGCAATCAGGTCACTAACTTTTGTTTCCTTCTTCTGTTTCCCTGTCCTATCCCCTCCTGCTTGTATTTACCTTTTATCATCTTCTCATCCCTTTGTCAGGCATCCTCTTTGCACGCCGCCAGCCTGTGCCAGCTTCCCATGGCCCAACTAACACTGCACCCCCAACCCCTACAGGACCCTCTTCCAACACCTCACCCTGAGAGCTCTCACTTTGAATTAAGAGTCCCAGCCCATTGCTGGGGGGAGGGGTGGGAGACACCCCCTTCACCTTGATTCTTCCAGGGGGCCCACCCTAGGACCCAGACCTGGAAGGTGACCACTACACCCCTCATGCCATGTGGGCTTGAAGCCAAAGAGTTTTCTTTTGATGTTACATCTACCTCATTGTAAAGGGAGGGCACTTCCTCTCTGACCAACTCCAGCAGCATCTACCAAGGAGCCCTGCCTCCAGTGCCCCCTGTGTCTATGTCATCTCTAGGACCCTACCTCTTGGAGTCAGACCTGCTTCTTCTCTTCAGGAACCAGATGAAGGGTTGGGTTGGGGTGTTGGGAAGGAGATTTTCCTCAGGTCACATCTAGATAATAAAGCTACAGTTCCTCCCTCCCCAATGTCTCTTTTTCTTGTTTGGATCTGGGGGTTGGAAAGGAATTGTGTGGTATACACAGGCTGCGTTGAGCCAGGGGCTTTCATAGGGAGGACAATAGCAAAAGTCCATGAGAGTAGAAGAGTTTGATCTCATGAATCAGACTGCCTGAGTTCAAATTCTGATTATGCCACAATAGTACTGAGAGGCCCTGGGCAAGGCACTTAATCGCTTAAATATTATTAGACTCTAAAAGATTATGTTATTTCACAGGGCCTCCTATTGAATACCCTGGATTAACAGGGTATTTATATGCGCAACTTCGGAGAATGAGTACACTAAAATTAGAAAAAGAAATGCAAAGGTTGTCTTGACAAGCAGGAGCTGGAATAGGGTATTGCCTGACAGGTAGCCGTTGCCTAGGTAACCAGACAGCATTTGCCTCCTTTCGCCGTCCCAGCCGGTCGCTTCCGGAACTAAAGGCTTCAGTGGAGGCGTCACTTCCTGTATTGAGGGGAGCCGGTGCACTCTGATTGGCCATACTTCTTTATTTCGACGGACGTCCCGCCCCCTGGCTATTCCCCAGCTGAGGCGGGGAGGTAGCTATGGCGGCTGTGACCGATGTGCAGAGGCTACAGGCCCGGGTGGAGGAGCTGGAACGCTGGGTGTACGGACCGGGCGGGTCCCGCGGCTCGCGGAAGGTAAGAGATGCAGGGTCCAGTGGTCTTTTTCTGGGGCAGAGCAAGGGCAGTCTACCGGCCTGAACCTTGGAATGGATGCCTTTCGAGTCCAGTCGCCCGCAGTCCGGCCTTTGAAATAGCAAAGGTCCGACACCTCCGGGGCATGTTGGACCCTCGGGGTCCATACCCAGGTAAGGAACTGCGGGTCATTAAGCCCACTTGAAATGGGCTCAGTGTGAGCTGTGATTAAGACTCCGCCCCTACCCTTTTGGGCCAGTTGGGGAGACTTAACACACTGGGAAAGCTGACTAATGAGAGTTTCAGTAAGAGCTGAAGTCCACAATGGAGGGCTGTCATGGAGTCCTGTGTAATTAATTGCTAAATGAGTTGTGCAGAAAGAGGTTCATGGAACTTAGAGGAGGCAGAGCAGAGGTGCTTAAGGAAGACCCCAAGGAATGCGAGGAGAAGAAGGGATTGAATACTGGGTACCCCAATATGGACCGGCACTCCTTCACACCAGTTACTGAATTTTGACAATTGTGATGCTCAGTTGCCCTTTGTACTATGGGAAGACCTTTTACGGAAGGTGGAGCGTCAGGAATATCTTGGAATTAAGTGCATCAGAGGTAATGATGTCTGTACACATTTGTGGAATTAATTGTCACTAGCAGATTGTGCCCCATTTGAGAACCCACATCATAAAGCACTCTCTCCCTTTGACATATATGATGCTAACCATCCTGGTTTTACTCCTACCTCTCTGGCTGCTGCTTCTCAGTCTCATTTGCCTTTCTATATATTTGACCCTTGAATTTTGGCATTCCTCACCTTCTATCCTAAAACCTGGGTGAAATCATTAACTTCCATTGCTTCTCCATCTATTCAGCCCTTTAATGTTGGAATTCTTCATTCACTCTTCTTAAAGCCTAGGTAGGTTCAGTCAAAGAGGTAGTAACCAGGGAATGTATAGCATGTGGTAGAGCCCCATACACTCTAAAATAGTTCATTACCTTCCCCTATCAGACTTGAGACTCCCCAAAGAGAGCATGATTATCTCCCTCTTCCCACTGAGTATTCACAGAAGGTAGGGTTACATCTCCTTTAATACAAGAGAAAGTAACCAACCTAGATTTCTGGGGCAAAGAGGTTTGGGAGTCTGAGGGAATGAGGATTATTTACTTCTTCAAATCCTTGAACCAGGTGGTGAATCTTGGAAATAACTTTTACTCCCCTTACAGGTGGCCGATGGCCTGTTCAAGGTGCAGTTAGCTTTGGGGAACATTGCCAGCAAGAGAGAGAGGGTGAAGATTCTATACAAAAAGAGTAAGTGTTTATATGGGGTGCCTGCCTATCTTCTTGTCAATGCTTATGCTTCCTGAGACCTTCAGCCCACCAGGTCACTGGAGTTGCCCTTTGGGCATATAGAACGTGAAGATATTTTCCTGCTGAAATGGTAAATTGGGGCATGCATTCTATTCTGTGGTTAAACTTCAAGCCCATGACAAGTGTCCTAAGTTATAGGATAAGAGCTCTGCCTGAAATATCCCATTGGTGAAGGAGGAAGAATGGGTATGAGATTTCCACAGGCAAGATTCAGAGGCAGGAATTTAATTAGGCACTGAGAGCACTGGCCTTGGCTCAGCCATGCCTTTTTGATTGTATCAGAGCTGGCAACCTGCTAAGTAACTAGAAATCAGATAAAGCTTTGGATTGTCTTGGTGGCACTGAGGGGCACATGGTGTTCCACCCTTGGTGAACATCAGTCAGTGGGAATACTGAGGGCCCCAAGGTGGTAGAGGCAATTATACTTTCAGCTCTAAAGTTTGAGGTTAGCCAGCAGGTGATCAGAGGGGAGAGACAGGGAAGTGTGGGAAAGGAGTCCTGGTAAAGGCCCGCTGATAGACACTGTGGGTGTCAGCTCCTCACTCAAGGTTCTCCCCAAGGTGGGACATCCCCCCGATATCCTTCATAAAGCAGATCCCCGTTACCCAATCTTATTTCATTTTCCATCTTCCCACTTTTCTAGTTGAAGACCTGATCAAATACCTGGATCCTGAGTACATTGATCGTATTGCCATACCTGATGCCTCTAAGCTGCAGTTCATCTTAGCAGGTGTGCACATGCATCTGGGGATGTGGATTGTGGGGGAATTAGGGCCTCCCTGCCAGTCCTAATGGATAAAACCCTGGAAATTGCTGTCTGGAATTCTGGCTTTCATCTGGGCTAAGACCAGAGGTGAATCTGTGGTTCTCTAATAGGTATTGGGTGTGGTATACTTCTGAGCTAGCTGTAGTTCATGGTGCTAGCCACAGTGGGAGATGTTCTAATGTTCTTTCAATGGCCTGCCTCTAGGATTTTCCTTTAGAATCTTCCTCACTTCTGCTCACTAGACAGGGGAGCTTCTAGGAAAGTGTGGGAGCAGAGAGTATTGCATTTAAGAGAGGAGAATATTGGCATGAGTTTCAACATCCTTTTTCCATGTGAGAAAGCTCTGGGATTTCAGAGTTCTAAGCGATATATGCTCATCAGTTAGTCAACCACTCCATGAGATAGGGTTTGCCAAGCACCTGTGTTTGTTCATACATTGAAAAGATGTTTCATGATCATTTCCTATAATCCAAAGTATCTTAGGTATGAGGTATACAGTGGTGAACCAGAATGTCCCTGAGCCATTGCTGTGGCTCAAGCATCAAGATCAGATCGCCATCACTGACTCCTAAGTCCAGCCTCTCCATCCCTCCCTGTGGCTACTGCTTTAGTGTTAATCCCCTCACACATGAACTGTTGCAGTCTCCTAAATTCTCTTCTTGATCCTAGACTTACCCTTTTTGCATGTGGCTCAGTATCATCTCTCCAAAACACATTTCCAACATGCCACTTTGTCTACTTTGGAACCCCAGTGCGTGTGTGTCTCTCTCTGTGCTAGGATAAAGTTCTACATCCTCAGCCTGCCATTCAAAGCCTTCTGCAGTCTGTTGGATCTGCTCTCCCATCCAACTCTCTCTCCTGTGCGCTCCCTGTTCCAGTTTAGCAAATTGAATTATTTTTCCTCTACTAATTAACAAGCATTCTTGCCTCCAAATGTCTGGCATAACAGTCCTCCCTTCTTTAGCTCCTTTCCTTCTCTTTGCAACCATTGAAATCCCCTGTGCGGGGCCATGCTCTCCTTATTGGACTCTTCTGTTACTGTCCCAGTTCTCCAGAGCCACTGAGCGGAACCTGCCTGGCAGTCTGCCATGTCTTCTCTTTCAGACCTTCCCTTCCCAGGAGTCCTTGGGTGTGGGGACCTAAGTCTGAAATAATTTGTCTCCTGCGGCCTAGGTGGGGCTCAATAAATTTGTTGATAGGAGGCTAGAAGAAAACGCTTTAGAGTTAAAGTTTGGAGAAAGATGGGATTTGAAAAAACTTTGAGGCTCCTTGGGCCCAAGATGGGTCAGACCAGAGGCATTCAGGAGAGGTGGGGGCAGAATGGGGGAATGTGCATTTAGAGAAGGGGCCAGCGGACAACTCCAGGACCCAGCCATCTCCCCTGCCAGGTTCTCAGCCCCTTGCATTGGAGTAGCAGTGCCCAGGCTCCTCTCACTGCAACTCTCCTGTTTGTTTATACCTCAGAGGAGCAGTTTATCCTCTCCCAGATTGCACTCCTGGAGCAGGTGGAGGCTTTGGTGCCCATGCTGGACAGCGCTCATATCAAAGGTACCTCTCCACTACTCTGCTTGAGGTGGGTAGATAGGCAGGATTTCCCTGTACTTCAGGTTCTATGGGTTCAGGCTAGGTCTACTCCTTGTCTTCAAGGAGCCCCTTATCTTCAGGTACCCCAACTACCTGGGGGTACTTGCCCCCTGTTTTGGAATTAAAATTACCATGGCAGAGAGCTCAGTTTCAGAACCCCAGACACTTTGAGCCTAAGGACAGTAATATAATCCCAGCAGCCCCAACTCTGGGGATTCTTTCTGCCTTTTACTCCACCTCTCAGCATCTGTCCTCAGGGTGCTGCAGAGCCCAGATCTTACTGTAAGAGTCACTGCCAGGTATGTGAATGTGTGTGAATTCTACCTGCCACACTGCTAGGAGCAGTCTCTGTGCTTAGGTTTTGACAAGCAGACAGTGACTTTAATTGAATTCAGATATCCATCTTGTCTGTCTCTGGAGGTATTTTTCCCAGCTCCCCCTCCCTACCCCTAATTAGCTACCTGCTGAGCATCTGACAGCCTTAAGCTTTGGGCCTAGCATGGTGGCCAAGGCTTTGGGTGTTGGCTTTCAGGTGGCCACCTTAGGGACCTGGCATTTATCCTCAGGCCACCTACAGGCACCCCATTCCCTAGGGGAGGCAGACACGGTCCCACTGGGCTAAGAGCAAAGGGACAGACCCCATGATAGGCAAAGTTGTTGTTTTTCTTTTTTAATTTAATTTTTTAAGATTTTATTTATTTATTTTTAGAGAAAGGAAGGGAGGGAGAAAGGGAGAGAAACATCAATGTGTGGTTGCCTCTCCCCTCACTGGAGACTTGGCCCACAACCCAGCCATGTGCCCTAGACTGGGAATCAAACCGGTGACCCTTCGGTTCACAGGCTGGCACTCAATCCACTGAGCTACTCCAGCCAGGGCACAAAGTTCTTTTTACTTGTCCCTGCTTACGGTACTAGAGTAGAGGTATGGGGCAACTCTGGGAACCCCAAGGTGTTGTTTCCTAGGGTCCTGTATCTTCCCCTCCTTTTTGGATCCTAGAGTAAGACTGGGGTGAGCAGGGAGCCCCACCACCACCTCTAGCTGCAGCGGTCGATGAAGCCTGGCGTTTGTTTAGCTTCTCCACTCAATACTCTAATCCTGCCAAAGACCTAATAGACTATTGAGCAGTCCCCAGGGAAGGCACAAGCATCATCGGGCAGTGTGCGTTGTGTTTTACAGCCGTTCCTGAGCATGCCGCTTGCCTGCAGCGGTTGGCCCAGATCCACATCCAGCAGCAGGTATGGGAGGGGAGAGGACTGGAAGGGAAAGTAGAGGTGGTGAGGCTCCTAGTCCCCCACCCCCACTGCTGCCTGGGGAAGCAGTTCCCCCGATATCAGCTCCAGGGGAAACTCGGGGGTTTATCCTTTATCTTCCATTTTCCTTAGAGAAGGGAAGGGACTTACCTAGGACCACATCGAGATCTCCTGCCTTCCAGAGTAGGGCTGCTCTGAGACACCAATAGGTTGATGTTGGGATGTATCCAAGAATTCCTGGGGATGGTGTGTCCTTGACTGTGGGTGGAGGAGCTGTTTGGTTCCCCCTCCCCCTCCACTATTCTCAGGCTCTAGTGTAAATTCAAAAAGTGTTCAGAAATAGAGGACAGGGGAGAGACATATATTAGCAGTAGTATTTCCTTAAATGTGTGATCCACTACCCCTTCCATCAGCGTTAAGACTGCTGTTAGTGTACCCATCTTGGAGCCTCAAAGTACCCCTTTAAAAATCTGTTCCTTTTGGCTCTGGATGGGGTTATCACCTTAACTAGGCTCTGTGGGGGATGAGGGCCCCAAAGAGGCAGGAAGGTTAGTGGAAAGTGGGGGCTTTGTCCAACTCCTTTCTCTGACACCCCACAGGACCAGTGCGTGGAGATTACTGAGGAGTCCAAGGCTCTCCTGGAGGAATACAACAAAACTGTATCCTTTCTGCTCAGCCAGGCCCCTGAGGAGTGCTGTCCGAAGCCCTGTCCTTTTGTTCCACCTCTAGCTCTGTCTCATCCCATCCCAACCAGCCTGTCTATTCTGCTCCCCCACCCTTTTGGCAGATGCAAATATCTGCACTACCTTACTCAGACTCCTGTTTTCACCTTGACCTCCATCTAGACATTGCTTCTCTCCAAGCAGTTCGTGCAGTGGGATGATCTACTTTGTCAGCTAGAAGCCGCCAAGCAAGTGAAGCCAACAGAGGAGTGATGGCTGCTCTCCATCCCAGGGTGAGCCGGGGCAGCCAGGCTCTGGGGCCCTGTGCCAACCTGCCCTTGTAGCAAGGCAGAGGCAGCTCTGTATTTGTTGTATTCACAGCCTACCTTGTCCACACTCAGGTGGGGCCCTGAGGTCACAGGTCTGGCTATGTAAGATTTCCTCTTTGCACTCCCTCCCCTTATCAGTGTCCTATTCCAGCGACAATAAACTGTAGAGATCACTGGAAGAATGTGCCCACTTCTTGGTCTAGGATGGGGATAGGGGTGAGGATGGAGGTGGTGGTGGGCAAAGTTGTCAGTCTTTCTAGTCATTAAACCAGGAGCTATACTCATCCTGGTCTGGTGTTCTGGGAGGTGTAGGGCTCTCAGGACAGATGTTCTCATTTGGTTAATGTGAGTGGAACATACTCACTTGTGTGTCCCTTTTCATGTCAGATTCCATGCCAGGTGGGGACGACACAGATAGGATCTACCTGATCCCTGTCCTGTAAAGGTTAGCTGTGAGAGAATCACACAGCTGTGAAGGAAAAGGGCAGTCCCACCAGGTGGGCACAGGGTGCTTTGGGACACAGAAGAAAAGGATGGAGGAGGCAGCCCTAGAGGGTAATACACAGGGTTTTAAGAGCCCAAGGAGCAGCGTGTGCAAAGGCAGAGAGGATCCTTGAAGTTTCTCAGTTGGTAGCCTTCTCTGTGCTATTATCCGAGAAGGGAAGCCCAAAGAGTTTCAGATACAGGGGTTTGGCCAGGGTGGAGGCTGCGGCGGCGGGGTGGGGGTACTGGTTAGGGAATGGGATGGAAGCCGGGTGGAGAAAGCAGATTCAGATTGCCACCGAGTGTTTGCTGCCCCCTTGTGGTTTCAAGAAGTGTTGCGTCTCCAGACCCCTTTTCAACCTCCGGCCGGATCACCCAACCTGCACGGTCTCACAGGCATCTCAAATTCAGGGAATTAAGTCCGAAACGGAGTCATCCTAGACTTCTCTCCTTTGTACAGTCAACAGCTCCCCACCTCACCTACGTCCTGATATCTCCCAACTTTACGTTTCTCCATTCCCACTACCATTTCTCTGGTTCATTCTTTCAACAAATCATTTAACAAATATTGGAGCGCCTGACGGGTCTCCATAGCCACATCTCCCGGGCCCAGCGGCCAGAAGTCATCAGCGATAGTGGCCCGATTTCCCGACCCTACCTCCTCCTTCGTTGCAGCCAAAGTGAGCTGCGCACACGAACTATTTTGACCCCTGATGAAAACACTCCGTGGCCCGCCAGTGTTTACGGAATGAGGTAGAAGTTCAGAGCTTAGTGACCAAGATCCTCGCCCGGCGCAGCAGCAGCCAAACTCCAAATGGAACCTCTTGTCTATGTCCAAAGTGAAATCCGCAGCTTCACTTTTGCCATTGTGGTGTGCTCAACTAGTAATGCCATCACTGCCATCTTCTAAGAGTCAAATCCTTCCCATCCTTCGGACGCGGGACTCTGATGGCCCCTCCTGTCCTCCGCAGGGCTCTCTCCACCCCAATAGGAATGCCCCTCCCGCAGGGCGGCACAGCACAGGCTGAGCGTGTGTTTTGGGTCCCTGGACGTCCCAGGGGAGCTCACTCACTTCCTGGTCTCACGTTTTCACGGAGGCCCTCAGGTTCCGCCCCCGAGCCAGCTCCGCCCCGCCGGGTAGGCGCGCCACCGTGAGCCTGGGCGCGCTCCCTCACCGCCCGCCATCTTGGCTCCAGATCGGGCTTGAGGCGAAAGGGCCCGCGGTGGTGAGAGCTGGAACCTAGCGGAGTTGCGGGGCTCCTGGAGGTAGGGGGTTGGGGAACTGGAGAGGACAACTCCTGGGCTGTGCAGGGAGGGACACTGGGGACGGTCTGCAGCTATGGAGACGGCCGAGGCCGGCGGGCCCGATGCCAGGAGTAGCCCAAACGACCGTCGGTGTCAAGCCCGTGCTCTTGAGTTTCTCGAGTGATCTGGGTTCTGGGGGATCCGGGGAATCTCTCAGAGTGAGGGTTGCTCGACCCTGCCCTGGAGATTTCAGAGCAAGGGAGGGGTCAGCTCTGTCTTTGAGGAGCATTTTGATGCGGGCTCTTTTCTCTGCCTTGAGGAATTTAGCGTGTAGAGGCTTAGCCCTGTCCTCTGGAAGCTCGAAGGGAGCCTTGGCCCTGTCAGTGGTGAGCCTGGGGTGAGGAGCCCTCACCTTGTTCTCAGGGAGTCTGGGGTGAGGGCCAGGACCCTGTCTCAAGGAGCCCAATATGAGGGTGGCTTGGTTCCAATCCTAGGAACCTTGGGATGCCCCCCAGGAGGCTTGGACCTATCTTAAAGGGCCCAGGTTTGGGGGAATTTGGTTCTGTCTCCATCTTGGGTAGAGAGAGGGTTATGGCCCTGGCCAGGGTAATGGCAGTTTATGGGTTACAGACCTTCTAAAAGTGAGGCAGGCATAACTCCTGTCCTGAGAAGCTGGGAGTGAGGGGCTATCGTCTTGTTCTTGGGAAGTCTGGCATGAGGAGCAGGACTTTGTCCTGGAGAGCCAGGGTGGTGGCATGGTCTGGGGCCACATTGCTGAGCATTCTTCTGACACTTCCCTGCAGTGGGCAGCAAGATTCCTGGACGCAACAGCTAGCAGGATGGAGCACTACCGGAAAGCTGGCTCTGTGGAACTCCCAGCACCTTCCCCAATGCCCCAGCTACCTCCTGATACCCTGGAGATGCGGGTCCGAGATGGCAGCAAAATCCGCAACTTGCTGGGGCTGGCACTGGGTCGCTTGGAGGGCGGCAGCGCAAGACATGTGGTGTTCTCAGGTTCTGGCCGAGCTGCAGGGAAGGCTGTCAGCTGTGCTGAGATTGTCAAGCGGCGGGTACCAGGCTTGCACCAGCTTACCAAACTGCGCTTCCTGCAGACTGAGGACAGCTGGGTACCAACCTCACCTGACACAGGCCTGGATCCCCTCACAGTGCGCCGACATGTGCCTGCAGTGTGGGTACTGCTCAGCCGGGACCCCCTGGACCCTAATGAGTGTGGCTACCAGCCCCCAGGGGCACCCCCTGGCCTGGGCCCCACACCTAGTTCCAGCTGTGGCCCCCGACCCCGAAGAAGGGCCAGAGATACCCGGTCCTGAAGACCTGCTGAGCAAGCTATTCTCCAGGACTGAATGTCTAGGATGGCTGTGCCTTCTCCGAGACGCCTCTATAACTGCTCAACACCCCCAACAAGACTTGAATCTCCAGAAGTAGGCCTCCTTGTTCTGATTCCCTTTCCTTCAGGCATACGGAAAGGGGTCTCAGCCAGGTTCTGGATTGCTTAAGAGGGCTTACTCTGTCTTCCATCTACAGTGCCTCTGATCTGTCTTCTGACAGAGGTCCAAGGAGTGGGTTAGGAAATAAAGGTTTTGCTGGTTTGATGAGCCTCTCTCTGCTTGGCCTTCTGTGTGGAGGTGGGATTAAGGGGGTAGGAGTCTCTGTCCTGTACTTCAGCTCACAGGCTGGAGACAGGAAGAGTAGGCTTAAACTAATGCTGGGAGGATCTAGAGTCGTTAATAAGCCGTAAGCAGTAATCTAGGACTATATCTAGACCCTTGGATGGGTCTGCCATGTGCTTTGGGCTGGTTTAGGGACTCTACCAAGTCAGACATTTTTCTCTGGCATATATTATAGCAGTTATGATTATAATCTCAGACACCAGACTGTCTGGATTTGAATCATGGTTCTGCCTGTAGCTTGTAGGCAAGTTACTGCTTTGTGCCTTAGTGATCTCATCCATAAAGCAGGATGTAGTGCTTACCTCATAGAGTTTTTATGAGGATTGAAGGTAGAAGTACACATATATAACTCTTAGATACCGCGTGGGCTTATAGTGCCATGTACATATTAATTGCCTAATTATTAATGACGTTAGCTCACAAACATGCATTTTCTTATCTTGAAAACCTCAGCCCTGGCTGATGTGGCTCTGTGGGTCGGCCTGGAAACTGAAAGTTTGCTGGCTTGATTCCTGGTTGGGGCACATGCCTGGGTTGCAGGCTTGGTCCCTGGATGGGGTGCATTGATGTTTTTCTCACATATCACATCAATGTTTCCCTCCCAAAATAAGTAAAATCTTAAAAAAACAAAAACAAACCTCAATCCCATATCTCTCCTCCAGGTCTCATCCTTGCCTTTTTCCCTCTTGGCGCTCCTTTCTCACTTTGGCCTTAGACTCAGATTCATCACAGTCAGATCAGGGTCATAAGGAGAGAGATAAAGATTGCAATGATAGCCAGGGAGCTGTGGGTACCAGAGCAGGTTTTAAGGCAGTGGTAGACTCTGAAGAGTTGAGCCAATCAAGGCTCCCACTGGATTTTTCTTCAATTACAGTTGACGTTTAATACATTGTTTTAGGTGTACAGCATAGTGATTGGACATTTATATATAACTTACAAAGTGATCTCCCTGATGAGTCTTCTACTGGATTTTGAGGTCTTCTCTCATGTGTCCAGTAGCCTGGGTGTCCAGTCTCCTGCTAAACTCATGTTGTAGCAGGGTGGGCTCGGCACTGTGAGTGTGGAAGTGATGTTTGGCTGAGTATAGGCAGGAGGGGTTGAGATGTTGGGGAAAATGGAGTTGGGGGAACTTTAGGCCTCAGTAACGTCATAGAGCAGGGATGAGGGGACCACAGGGCCAGCAGGCTGTGATCAGAACTTTGAACACTGCGTCATCCTTTGCTTTCAAAGGTAGGTTGCCCAGAGTGACGTGGAAGACCCTGAGGAAGAGGCAGGTGATGCAGATTCAGGGGCTATTAGGAGAGACAGAAAACTCAGCCGCTGCCCAGCCATGTCTTTCAAATGCAGAGAGCCAGAGAGCATCCAATATACCCCTAGAGGCCATGGTGGTGACTCAGGTGTCTAGCTACCAGCAACTGCCTGACTTCTCCCTATTCTCTTTGTGGTCAGTTCAGGGTTTTTGCTCTCTCCCAGTTTCTGTATATTGCCTTTTCTCTGAGCATATCCACTGGCGTGTCTTCTACCATCAATAGTTCTTTGAGTGTCATTGGTTCCCAGAGCTTTGGGACCAGGCTACTTGAAGACTATTGTTCCTTGGCTCAGCAGCACGTCCTGACCCAGCCTACTGTGGCTAGGGTGGAATGATCATGTGGAACAAGCATGGTGCCCTGCGCTGAAGGAATGATTCAGTAAAGTGGCATCACAAGATGTGGGGGTTCTTGGAAGGGCTCCCAGATGGTGCCTTAATGACAAGCTGCCCATTGACTAAATGCCAGCTCATCATTAAGGCACCATCTGGGATCTCCAGGATGACAGGGATAGCATGGAGGGAAATTGAGCTGAGGTCAAAATCCCTTGGGAAGAACAGAGTCTGCAAGTCAGAAAATCAGAAAATGAACTGCAGACTGAGGGTGGGGTAGCTAGTGTCCCTCCTTGGCCTCTATAGGGCCCAAGTGGGGCTTACAGGAGGAAATGTGGGGAGGGGGCAGAGATAAGTGAGGCCTTTAGAGGTTGGTAGCCTGACTAAGCTTAGCGGGGGAGCATGAGGGTTGTGTATATTTTCTGATTCAGTTTTTTTAAAAAAAGATTTTATTTGTTTATAGAGAGGGAGAAAGAGAGGGAGAGAAACATGGATATGCAAAAGCTACATTGACAGGTTGCCTCTCATATGCCCCCAGCTAGGGACTTGGCCTACAACCCAGGCATATTCCCTGAATAGGAATTGAACCAGCAACCTCTCAGATAGGCCAGCACTCAATCCTCTGAGCCACACCAGCCAGAGCAGTTATTTTACTTCCTACTTTGTTCTTAAGCCACTATAGTATGGCTTTTGCCTCCACATATTTGTTAGAAAAGGTTATGACATTTCTAAATAGCTCTTTTAAGAGTTGGATTGTGAATTGGTGGAGAGAGGTACTAAAGAGCAGGAGAGGAATATAGACTACAGATGGATGTATGTATGTATGGATGTATGTATGTATGTATGTATGTATTTATGAGTTGGCAGAGACTTGAACATGTTTGCAGGCCGATAGAGGACTCCAATAGGAAAAGAGATTAAAGATGCAGGGGATTGTGGGTAACTCATAGAATGAAACTCCTGAATGGATGAAAAGGAATGGGACTCAGAAGTCTGGAGGTAGGGATCTCCCAAAGGAAAAGGAGAGCTGATTTCTTATAATAGGAGGGAAGGAGTTAAGGATGGATATTCATGCAGATAGTGTGGAGGTGAAGGTAGGACAAGAGTGACTTAATAATTCATATGGCTTCTATCTCTAGAAGCAGGAGTCCAGCTCTGCTGCTGAGAGCCCTGTGCTGGTATGAAGGAAGGGAGGCAGTTGTTGCAATTGGGAGAGATAACTAGGGGGTTGCAGGAGGATAGCTGTACAGAGCTAAAAGCCCTGTTGAGGCTGGTGACCATGAAAATGTAGTGTCACCCTGACCAGTTTGGCTCAGTTGGTTGAGTGCTGTTCTGTAAAGCTGAAGTTCGCCAGTTCAATTCCCAGTCAAGGTAAGTGCCTGGGTTGCAGGTTTGGTCCCCTGGTCAGGGTATGTACAAGAGGCAACCAATTGATGTTTCTTCCCCTTTCTTTTTCCCTCCCTTCCCCTTTCTCTAAAACATAAATAAATAAAACCTTAAAAAAGAAAAAGAAAATGTAGTGTCATCAGTCTGGGTGTATGAGCTCTAGGAACACCCATAGGACAAGTGAGGATTCAGAGAAAGCATTGTTGCATTCTTCCAGGCTGAGGTTAAGACAGGCAGGAATGATGGAAGAAGAGCAAGGAGACTAGCGAGAGAGTACATGTAGTAAAGGACCAAGGAATCCAAACTGGATCTGGAAAGAAATGAAGATAGAAAGGGGCAGGAGTCAGTGGCCTGGAGGTCCCCATGAAAATGTCTGGAGTGAAATGAAGTAGTTGAAAGAGCTAGGAGAGGGCATGGTAACTGTACCAGTTTCTAGGCTGCCATAAACAAAGTACCACAAACTGGGTGGCTTAGAACAACAGAAATTTACTGTCTCGCAGTTTTGGAGACTAGAGTTCTGAAATAAAGGTGTCAGGAGGGCCATTTTCTCCTGAAACCTTTAGGGGATTTCTTCCCTGATTCATCCTAGCTTCTGGTTTACCAGCAGTCATTGGCCTTCTTGGCTTTTAGAATAATTATTCTAGCCCTGACAGGTGTGCTTCAGTGGGTTGGGTTGTCGTCCCACAAACTGAAAGGTTACTGGTTTGAAACCTGGTCAGGCTACATGCCTGGGTTGTGGGCCAGGTCCCCAGTTGGGGGCCTGACAAGAGGAAGCCAATGTTTTTCTCCCTCCCTTCTACTCTCTCTAAAAATAAATTAAATCTTTTTTTTTAAGAGAATCATTACTCCAGTCATCTACATTCACATCATCTTCCATCTATTTATGTCTTTTTCAGTGTCCAAATTTTTCCTTTTTATAAAGATACAAATCATTTTGGATTAAGGCCCACCCTAAATGACTTCATTTTAACTTGATTACCTCTATAAAGATCCTATTTACAAATAAAGTCACATTTTTTAAAAGCTTTTATTTACTTATTTAATTTTATTATTTTTATTTTTTGGAGGAAAAATTAAACCTTATTTATTTTTTAAAACCAGACCACTAGGAAAATGTATCATAGTCCTGAAACAGCAAACGGAAAGGTTATATTACCATTTCAACTAATAAATTGGTAAAAAGACAAGGTTCTTATCAAAACGGTAAGCTGCCAGAGCTGGGATCGGAACTCTGCAAATTGCAAAGCCCCCAGGAAAAAGTGGTATTTGGTAATGGCGGGGTCAGGGAGGAGGGATGGCCCCTCTTGCTCTACAGGAGCCGCAGCTCACTTGAGTTGCTTCCTTTTTCTACCTTGACCTTCCTGTTGCCAAAAGATTGTCTCAATAGGGCTCTGTTATTTCAGCGTGATAATAAGCAATACTGGACTCAGGTTTCATTCCTGAAAACCAGATTTTTTCCAAATCCAGTACTTCATAATTCTCTTAATTAAGCAGTCCACAGTTCCTCTTTCATTGTTCATTCCTGGATATTGGTGTATAGCACACTCGAAACCCTCTTTCTCGTCAAGGTAGAGTACCACTGCAAGATCGTCCTGCCACTCTGCTGCAGACAGGCTCAGGGCTCATCACTGCAGCCAGTGAGAAGGAAAGTCTGCTTCCCATACCCAGCATGACATTGCCTCTCATGTTTTTGCAGGATCTCTAAACTGAAAGACGTCATGTGTGAGAATTTAAGAAGTGAGCATCTACATCTTGATGGACAGAAACAGATATTTAGATGAAGCTTTCAAAGTTCTTATCCAAACTACATCTCCCAACTCCACATCTTAAGTCAATTTCATGCCCTTGTATATTAAACAAAACCCAGCAAAACAAATACCCAGAAACCATTTTTCCCCTTCTAAATTAGTGACCTCATGGATTTTGTTTTACAGCTTATGAAAAATGATGTGGTGATGCTTCTGGTAAACAGGAGGTTGGCAACAAACAGAACCACCTCTTCTCATATTCCACCAGATCACTGGCAGGTTAGAAGAACCTATCAGCCTGTTGGTACCTCAGAGGGCTCTGGCTTGATTTGAGGGAAATACCTGCTGCCAGGAAAGCATTTGCCACATAAAAATTAGTCTCTCTAAAACTCCCTGACCCAAATTTTAGCACCAGTTTTTTTCATTTCACTTTCTAGGATTAAAACATAAAAGAATCAGTGCCCAGAGGCAAGTGACACATGCCTTAACCTTGATGCCATCCTTAATTCCTTCATTCATACACTGTGCTTAAAAGACCAAAGTTCTCATTCTTCATTTTAAACAGATTCCTGCCCTCAGCCTCAGTGGCCAATGGCAAAGGCCTCTATATCTGAATAGATGAGAGGGACTACTCTATCTTCTTAGTTATGGTTGGAATGAAGTTCATATGGTCATCCACACACTTGGTCACACAACTCTCCAACTGCCGCTTCACCTGAAGCTCTTTACTCCCTGTATCTATTGAATCTTTGGCTTTGTCATTGCAACGCATGGCGCACCATGCCAGGTGGTCCTGGAACTTCTCCAGCTCGCTGGTATCCAGGGATTGGGCTTGAGCCAGAGGTGTGAGGCAGCACTCAATGCACTGGTGCACCTGCTGCATGGACACCTGGCTGTCCTCACAACAGCCAGCGCTGCACAGGAACATGAGGTCCTCCATCTTCCAGATATTCTCTCTGTCCAGACTCTTCACCAAGGAGTCCACCACCTCCTGCATCCAAAGCTGCTGCAGGTCCGCCATGGCGACCCCATGGTGCACCATGCAGCAATGGGTGCCTACATGGACTTCAAGCCCAGGCCTTACCCTCCTTATTTTTTGAGAGAGGGGAAGGGAAAGAAACATCAATGTGTGGTTGCCTCTCTCACGCCCCCTACTGGGGAGCTGGTCTGCAATCTAGGCATGTGCCCTGACTGGGAATTGAACCAGCAACCTTTCGGTTTGCAAGCCGGCACTCAATTCACTGAGCCACACCAGCTAGGGCTAAAGCCACATTTCAAAGTACTAGAGGTTAGGATTTGAATGGATCTTTTTGGGAGGGATACAATTCAACCCATAACAGTAACTAAAGGATGAGATGGAAGAGTCAGTGGCTTTGAGAGTTCTAGGAGCTGACAGGACTTGGTTGTGAGTGTGGATAGCCGGGTGGCCTGGAGGAAAAGTCACTGAAGTTGTTGAGGAAATAAGGGGCCAGGGACAGTAGTAGTGTGTGGGCTGGGGACCTGGGGGAATACCCAGATGATGCGTGATGGTCATCAGGATGGAATGTGCTGAGCATTTTTATTACCTGCCTTAGAGGTGGCATGTATAATGGGGACTTAAGAACACAATATGAGTGGAGGAGTTGCATACTTCCCATATCCAAGCAGGCACCAAGTTCTGCTGGTTTTGCTTCCTTAGTTCTTTCTCCATTCCCACAACCTCCATCGGTTTGTGTCCTTCATCTTGCAAGAGTCTCATTGCTGGTCTTCGGTGCTCTCCTCCTATCCAAGCTACTGGCTGTTCCCTTTGTTTAGAGTGCTCTTCTGCCAGATACTATGGCTGTCTCCCACCCTCCTTCAAGTTTTTGCTCAAATGTCACCTCAGCGAGGCCTGTCCTAACCACTTTGTTTAACATTGCAGTCAAACACTTTTGATCTTCCTTATCCTGTCTCTTCCTCTTTTCTTGTTTGCCTTTTAAATATAATTTACTTCTTCAGTGTTTTTATTCATTTTCTGCCTGCTCCTGATGAAAATGTTCGCTCCAAATAGTCAGGAATCTTTATTGTCTTCACTGATGTCACCTAAGGATCTTGAACATAGTAGGTGCTTGATACATGTTTAATGAGTGAGTGAATGAATGACTACTGAACCTCCAAGTGTGTGGCCACACCCGGATCTTTCATTTTGCTTCCTTTAGTCTTCCTATGCCCAGATTAGAGGACAAGATCCAAATTCATTCAGTGCATGGCCTTAAAGGACCCCCTCTTGGTCACTTTCATGGCTCAGCCCTTCTTTGGTCTGGTCCCCATGGACCCTGGGCTCTGGCCACACTAATGCCTCCCTCTTCCCAAGGGCCATGAGATTTTTCTGCCTCTGAGCCTTTGCCCTTGCCATTCTGTCTACTTGGAACTCATCAAGAATATTCAAAGGATACCAGTGCTGCACTTTGAGTACTCCTCAGGGCCGACCTCCCCTCTCACCTCTATTTGTCTGGACCACCAACCAACCTAGAACTCAGAGATGAGGTTTGGTTCCGCAGTGCATCTCCAGCTCTCACTTTGGTGCTTGCACTGGGAAACTGATGTCTGGCTGCGCTTCTGATTCTGACCACTAGATGACAGCATTCGCAAAGTTATAGCCCATCTCTTCCTTTTGCTGCGCCTCCAGAAGTCCCTAGGAACCTCAAGTCAGAGAGGATAGTCTAGGCTTGAAATTTGGCCTTCAGTGAGGTCAGTGACCTCTTGGTTATTCAAAAAGCAGTTAATGATCATCCACTATGTAACAAATACCGTCACTGGGCTTGGAACCTCCAGCCCCATGAAGACTATAACCATATACACAGATAATTTCACTATTGGTGTGATGAGTTCAGAGATTAGGGAAGTTCATTAGACTTCAGGAGTTGAGAGCTCCTTGTCCAGTCTTCAGGGACACGCAAAGCTTCAAAGAAGAGGAGGTGATGCTTGTGTAGAATCTCAAAAAAGAAATGGAAAGGACATTCTGGATAAAGTGTAGGCATGAGCTAAGACATACAAGTGAAAGGAACATAGAAATGACCACTGGAGCTTTAAGTTCAAGACAAGAGTATGAGGAATGAGACTCAGAGGTGAGTGCGGACCAAATTGGAAGGGCCTAAGTGCCTGACCTAGGAGCTTGGACTTTTTCTTTAGGGTAATGGAGAGTCTTTAGGGTAATGGAAGGTTTTAAGAAGGACATGATATGGAATTAAGATTAGTATTAGATAGCTCTGGCTGGTGTGGTTCAGTGGGTTGAGCGCCAGCCTGTGAACCAAAGAGTTGCCAGCTCGATTCCCAGTTGCGGGCCAGGTCCCTGGTAGGGGGCACAGGAGAGGCAACTACACATTGATGTTTCTCTCCTTCTCTTTCTCTCTCTCTTCCCCTCTGTCTAAAAATAAATAAATAAATAAAGTTATTTTTAGAAAAAGATTAGTATTAGACAGCTCTGGCTGCTACAGTGTGGAAGGTGGATTGGGGCCCAGGGCAGAAGAGCCGTGAGGAGGCTGCCATAGGGTCCAGGGGGAGATGGTGAAGCCAAAATTATGGCTGAATCAGGCCCTGGAGAAGCCCCTCCCAGCCCATGAGAGATTTCGAGGCCTGGCACTTTGAAAGGGTTCTTGGCCCTAGCACCCTCTCCCCTGCCATTTGAGCCACCTCAGTCCTTCTGTTCCTGAGGCTCCTTTTGGCTCTATTCTAGCTGTAATTATTCTGACTAACTGCAATTTCTGTCAGTTTCCATATGGAGGCCACAGTGTCCTAGGTTCCTCTCTCTAGGTCTGCCGGTCTTGAGCTCAGCCTACACCCCAGTGATCCTTTCATGCACTCCCTTCTTTGAAAGAAACACCAGATAGAAGTGTGACTTAGGAGCTTTCTTCCCCAAGGAGCCAGGGTGAGCACTGGTCACTCCTTGCACCAGAGTTCATGTGCATACATGTGTGAGTATGTGTATGTATGCATGCGTGTGTATCATTGGCAGGACCGATGCTGAGGGAAGGACCTCCCTGGCAGGCAGGCAGGCATCACCGGAGGAAAGGTCTGGAGGTAGAAAAACACCAGGCATTGTTTTGAGAGCAGGAGACAATGTTGTTAGCAGGGCCTGACAGGGACAGGGACTGTGAGGTGGGGCCTGGAGCCATGACCTTGTACTGCAAGCAGGGGGCACCATAGCCAGGTTTTGAGCAGGGATTGGGAGAGTCACCTTCACTCACAGTCTCATGAATATGCACAGACCTGTTGAATTATGCAGAAAGAAAGGATGTAAATGTATATGCAAATTTGGTGCTGCCCTCCCTGTTGCTATGGAGACCAGATAATAGCAAGGGGGGCGGGCCAAACCCTGGGGAGACCAGGCTGGAGAGACTGGAGAAAAGGAGATTCTCCTCTGTTGTCTGCTTTTCCCATTCCTGCTGTTTTGATCTCTTTCTTTGCCTCACTCTTTGTCTCCCTTTGCCTTGCTGTTTCTCCATCTCTGCCTCTCTCTCCCTCCCTCTCTACCTCATCTCTATTTCTCTCGCCTGTTTTTTGTTTGTTCTTTTGTTTCTTAATATCTGAGTCTTTCTGTGTATATCATTGACTCCATGTCACTGTTGTTCTGTGACTCTGAGACACTGTGTTTCTCTCTGACTTCATGTGTCTCTTCATCTCTGTCTGTGTCTTTAATTCTATGTCTCTCTTTGTCTCTGTCTCTGACTCACGCCTTTCTTTCTCTGTATCTCTATTTTTGTGCCTGACTCTGTCTCTGATTGTGTCTATTTCTTGATCTCCCTCCCAGGTTCTCTTGCTTCTCTTTTGCTCTCATTTTGTGTCTTTGAACCTTTTGTCCCAATGCTTGTCTCTGATGGGAAGGGCAGGAAGCTGCATATCTGCCCTTGCCTGATGGGAAATACTCCATTCCTGACCCACCTGCCTACATGGTCAAGGATCCCTAGATACTCTCCCCACATAAAATCCTCTTTTACATCTGGCCCCTGTCACAGTGTTGTCACAGGACCCCTGTGACAGGTTTAGGATGGCTGCCAGGACGCCAGGGCTCCTGTCCCAGCCTCTGCCTGCTATGTGACTCTACCTAGTGTTTCTCCCTTTCTGGATCTGTAGTCCCAGCTCTGTCTCCTTAAAGCTGGGGAGCACCTTGAGGCAATGATGTGTCGGGAATAGGGAACTGGGAGATTAGTCTTAGTGGTTCACACATCTGGCCCTTTGCCCAAGGGCTGACGTGAGGGGTCTGGCTGGGGCCCAAGTATTGGGGGCGTCTGGGGCTAGTTGAGACCAATCCTGGTTCCCAAAGAAGACTCCTTGTTGAGCCACAGAGTCAAACAGGAGCTTTTCCACAGTCTATCCATGCTCCTGCCTGCTACAGCCTCAGCCATCCAATTCCCTGTTTGGGGTCCTTTGTTTGCCCTGCCTTCATTTGCTTTACAGTTCTAGAGCGCCTATTCTACACCATTTTCTGCTCTCACAGATCCACAATGATATAGAAATGACATCTGGACTTTTTGTGCGTCACCCCACCCCACTCTCCAAAAAGGGGCTCTTTGGTCCAGGTGAAGAACACAAGATTCTTTGACCGCATAGTTCTCTATCACTGACAGCCTCAGTTTGGGAATGTGAGGCATATGCAGCTGCCAAAGTCATGGATCAAAGTTAAGAGAGACAGAGATGGAGACAGACAGAGGCAGAGACAGAGATAGAGATAGAGATAGAGATAGAGAGGGAGGGAGGGGTAGAGAGGAGAGAGAGAGAGAGAGGGAGGGAGTGAGAGAGAAGAGAGAGAGAGAAAGAAAGAAGAGAAGAGAATCTCTGGATCTGTGGAGGCAGCATGCAGCCACACAGGGTTTGGGATGGGGTTTGGGAAGCTCAGAGCAGGACTTGGGGTAATGGTGGGCCAGAGTATTTGGAGGGCAAGTAGACAGTCTTATGTAGAGGTGGAGGGCTTCCTCTTTTGGTCCTGGACTCTGGGCAGGTTGCCTTACCTCCAGGCAGGCATTAGACGTGGGTGGTCTGGCTTGGGCCCAAGTGTGGGGGCGG